ATGTAAGCGGGCTATAGGCTAGGCTTAGTACTACTACTAGAGGCTGAGTAGAGCTATCACTATCAGTATCAAGGTATCATCACATCAGCTAAAACGAGTATGGCAGTGCATTCACCAGTCAGCTCTCTTGAGGGAATCAACTTGCACGTGAGCAACTTCCAGAAGAAAATGCACGCATGCTTCGTGACAGAACTGGGCCGCGTAGTGAAGGGGTCGCTTGCCTTCGAAATTTGCAACGTCGAACCTACTTTCGAACTTATATATATCAGCCAGCATATTCGCGTGGCCTTCCCTCGAAGCAAGGTGCAATACAGTGTCACCAGTTTTGGTATTTACGCTACTTACAGCTGTCAGCGAAAATGTGGGATTACGTAAAATGTTATCTAAGCCTACGATGTCATTAGCTTGAGCATATTTATTTAGAAAAATTCTGGCTTGCTCTAAATTTGTGGGGGCCGCCATGTCGATGCTGCCTTTTAAACAAGTGATCACTTGCGAGACACCTAATAAGGCGTCTTCTTTTTCTTCGCTATCGGCTTCTTTTTTTCGTCACCTTTTTCTTCTTGGGCGACGTTGCATTTTTCTTCACCAACTTCTTATTCCACTAATTCTTTTTCGTCTCAGTTTTGCTTGATTTTTGTCCACTCACAACTTCATTCTCCTCCTCCTCCTCCTTACTATATCAGTATCACCATAATCAGGATTACCACAATCGTCATTATTGTTGTCATCGTCATTATTATGATTATCATAATCATTACATCATTATTATTATTCTCTTCATTTCATGTAAGTAAATAAATATGTGGATAAATTTAAACTTAATGGTAGAAATTACCACTTGTATATGTGCACTCGTGGTGGAGCGGCAGCCGCCAATTATGGGGTAGGGGAAATATAAAATTGAATAATTTTGCAAGGAATGAACATACAGTAACAAATTACCCCTCAAAATGTTGGTATTTTTGTCCTCTACACTTTAATATCCATCATATGCAAATCTGTACTGTATGTAGGTCAGCAGAGATCAAAGGGTAATGAAATTTGACCCCTGATTAAAATCAGACCCCTGTCAGAAAATGCCCTACAGAATCGTTACCAATGGTTATTTGTTGGTCTGAGTGTGTCTATTCTGAAGCAGAGATGTAGAAGTTGATTTATAGTAAAAAAAAGTTTGCTTTATTTATATTTACGCTATGGTATGCAACGAGTTTTGACATATTCTTAAAAATGCCCTATTTTGGCGCTAAAATAGGCCAAAAATGTAAAAGTGGAATTGCTTGGAATTAGTTGGTGAAATTTGAAAACTAAACCTTCCAAATGGTAATAGACATATTCCTGATACAATTTATACCCCTTTTAATTGAATTTCAAATTCTGAGGTTGGTCCACCTCCTCGACGTTACATTGAAGTAGACGACAATGAATTAAAACAGAAGGCATTCGAGAAGAATCTCATATGGCTCATAACTCGGCTGCATTGTGCAGCAAACCAGACGGTACCCAGTTGGACAGGATTTAACATTCAAGTTCGCAATAAAATTGATGTTACACCAGATGTGGTTGCATGGTACCTGCCGACGATCAATGCCCCCTGCCACACAGCTGTCAACTGTGCATGAGGCCTTGTGCCAGTCACAGCAAATCAGAGCCTCACTAGCCCTTGAAAGTATAGCCGTTATGTTTGATCAAGCACTGTACGCAAAAGCCACAGAGATAATCTGGAAACAGAGGGAGAATTTCTCAAATATTGTTCCTAGGCAGGCGCGGATTTAGATGGGGGCACATCCGGCCCGTGCCCCACCTTTTAAACCCTTAAAAAAAATTAATTACACTGCAACTACCGTAAATAACCGTACTGCCCTCGTAGAGCTGTATATAGGAAAACCTTACCGTGTTGCAAAGAACAGAAGAATCTTGACCTCAATCATAAAATGTCTAGAGATGTGTGGTAGACAAGGGATTGCATTACGTGGTCACCGAGATGATGGCATCGATGTCTCTTCCAATACTAGTAATTTTGGAAACTTCAAAGCCCTGTTGGACATGAGGATTGATGCTGGCGATAAAGAGCCCTCAAACCACCTACAGGATTGCAGTCGAAATGCCAGCTACATATCCAAGACCGCACAGAATGCCCTACTTGATTGTATCAAGAAGCAGGTACAGGACATGATTGCAAATGAAATAGCGTTCATGAGTTTGTACGCCGTATCATAATCATGTGTATGCATGTACTGTTGTACGTGTTAACTGTATGTAGATGTAGGCGCCTACGAGGCTACGTATGTGACAGTAGATTGAGATGTGTGACTGTAAACTGAGTGTTACGTATGTGACTGTAGACTGAGATGTAACAGTAGACTGAGATGTAACAGTAGACTGGGATGCACGTATGTGACAGTAGATTGAGAAGTATGACTGTAAACTGTGATATACGTAGGCTACGTGACTGTAGCCTGAGATTCACGTACGTGACTATAGACTGATATGCACGTATCATGTGACTGTAGATTGAGATGTGCGTATGTGACTGTAGAATGAGATGTGCGTATGTGACTGTAGGTTGAGATGTGTGTATGTCACTGTAGATTGAGATGTGCGTATGTGACTCAGACTGTAGACCGAGATGTACGTACGTGACTAAACTGAGATGTACATACATGTACGTGTGACTGTAGACTGATATACGTATGTGGAAGTGATAACAAGGAATGCACATTTATTGGTTCTTATAATTAGCTCCTCACTTATTGGTTCTTATAATTAGCTCCTCACTTATTGGTTCTTATAATTAGCTCCCACTAGGCCTAGGCTACTTCTTTCTTCGGTGTCCGACATTAGGTTCTGCACACGCACCAAAACTGTGTAGGCCTACGGTTCCGGTTGTCGAATGCCCTCAAACCACTTTTATAGCTTTGACTTTGCATTGAAGAAATAGTGTGTACTGCGTCATCTTATAATATTAGTTGTTGCTGTTTAAATGTTGCTGTTTTTATTAAGTAAACTGAAGGAATGTCTTCATGTCCGCAAATTTAAAAAGGGTAAAATTTAGATCTTTTAGGAAATTGTACCAGAACCGCAAAAAACCAGCTGCAAATATTTACCGGTTTACAATACGCCACAGTCAACTGGCCAAACATTCAACTCCGTGCGGAGCACGGGTATTTGCTAGTATTGTATATTATTGCATCATTTTTATAGTATATTTATTCTGTAATATCACTTACACATGATAGATATGTAAAGGATAGCTGGAGCATGTATACCTTTGCTGCAAAGTGCAGTGGAGTTAATCCATCTCTGGTTTTCACGTCTGGATGAATGTTGCACTTGTCAATGAGCCATGAGACAGATTCAAGGCTTCCTGCCTGCGCAGCCAGATGAATTGCTGCTCTGCCTAATTTATCACAAGTGTCTGCAGCAGCCTATAGAAATTTTTTGGCCACACATGAGGAAAAATGATGACATTCGTTCACTGAAATACCATTTTCAAATCACAATAATCACGTTAATTTACCTTGCAATCAAATACCAGCATTTTTGCTACTGGGACACTGTTTCCTCTAACTGCATCCATCAGGGGTGTGCTGCCACAGCTATCAGCTGAACTGACATCGTAGTGCCCTCTTGTGAGTAGAAGCTGAACTACACCGACTAAACCATGTAGAGCTGAAGTTAAAAACACTGCTTGAAATAAATGTGAAGTTATACTAAGGAAAAAATACTAATTAAAGACAATTACTGATAAAGTAGGTTCAGACAGAAAAAACATGGATGGACAATCAAAAATCCTCCAAGAAACAGTATGAAACATTACCAGATGTTTGACTGATATACATTAGAGAATCATATATCGTTATGCTTTACCTTAGACATTTTTAGCTTGAATAAAGTTTAATAAATCTTATACCCCGTACAGACTGCAAATTTGATATGATATTAAACTGGTGCGCGCCAAATTTTTGCAGTGTGTACACGCTATCCGGCTCAAAATACGCGCTGGCCAGCAGCAATTTGGCCCCGCATATGAAGGAGGGCCAGGCCCATGATAAGTTATCCCACACCAAGCTGTGTATGTACGCAACATGCTGACACAAGACCCTGTGCTAAATCACAATACACATGCGCATAGCCTTATTTAGGTCATGCAATTGTATAATTGCTGTCTGCGGGGTGACGTGGCAAGCTGAACTGAGAACTGATGACTCATTTAATGTAGGAACAAAATTGCAGTCTGTAGGCTACGATTTGGAACACACCTGGAGTTTAATACCATATCAAATTTTGCAGTCTGTACGGGGAATTATTGAAGATACAGCGACCTGCAGTGTGTAAAGGTGTGCGGTCATTGTTACTGGCTGTCATCCAGATATCCGGAAACTGGTCAAGCAGATATTTCACCATGGCTGCATCACCTTGTCTGCATACATAAAATTTATCTTCAACTTATCAGAACAAATTCTGAAAAATGGCTTAATGAGATATGTCTAACAGGGGGAGTTTATGTGACTAAATCTGTTATGCACACAGATTTTATTAATAAAACTTCATGATTTATTTCATGTATACCTGCATGCAATATGGAATGCATTCCATCCATCCATGTTCCGCAGTAGTGGATTTGCTCCGTGCATGAGTAAGCAACGTGCAACAGCAATGTTTCCATTCTTCGCACAGGCAAGCATTAAGGGAGTCCTGCAAAGAATTAAGAGGCTGCATGTAACTCCAAGTATCAATAATGTATTACAAGACAGAATTATTCTTTGTAATTGTATTATTCCCAGAATTGCTTCCAGCTAGCTACATATTGGCATTTCATCAAATGTAACACATAACAGTACTATGGATTAATGTGAAAAACAATCTATCTGAATTGATTATTGATGATAGACCAGCTTGCCTTTTTGTACTGTGCACAAATTTGGTGAATCAAACCAGCAGCAAATTATGCAAAGGAATAACAGGTATTTCTTTACCCCTGTTGTAATAACAGACAGAGGGAAGGGCCACATGGGTAGAATTAAACAGGCAGGTAAAACTCATAAAGATAGAGTGTGCTGGAGTGAGGCCAAGTACCATTGTAACTGCAATGTTAGTGATATATTCCTGATCCTGGTGAAAAAGGCTACTCTGACCCCCCTAAAAAAAGCCTACCAACCTACCCAAACTTTCCAGCCTGGGTCGGTGAGGGCAAACAAATATTTTTTTAATTGTGGCCACGAAGTATGCACTATTACTTTATCACATCACTGTATAGTGTATATAAACTGTATATATATATATATATATATATCCCTAATCTTAAAGGGGTTTCATGCTTATTTTCCCACGTTTTTACCGACTTCATCGTCAAATTTTGGCATAGATGAAAACAAAAGTACATGTTATTGAGCTTATTTTGCACCTTTATTTTGTTTGCAGCATCCTATAGAAAAATGTGGGCACACCTGAGAAAAAAGTTGTCGCTGCCTAGTATCACTCCACAAAATACACCTACATAAATGCGACAACATGCCGAAAAGCCTCCGACTCAACACAATACAACACTAAATAGTTATAAACTGATGTCATTACAAGGTAGGCAAAAAATAAAAGTACAAAATGAGCTCAAGAACACATACATTTTTGTTTTTATTTATACCAAAATTTGAAGTGGAAAATTGGTAAAAAGGTGGGAAAATATGTGTCACTCAAAATTAAACTCCTTTGAGAGTAATTATTCCTGATATAATATATATATATATATATATATATCAAGCTTGTCACAGACTTTTAAAGTAGCAGGCTAAACTACCAAAGTAGGCGGCTGTCTGCTGCCGTAGGTAGCAGCCAAGCAGCCCAGCTGCAAGGGAGCTGGTTCGGAAGGGGTGGCCCCCGTCAAAATTAGGGGGGGGGTCCAGGGCAACAGCAGTTTTTTACCAGCCTTCACAAAAAAAAATTTTTTTTAAATAAAGATGACTGTTTCACTGACTCTTGCTTGTCCAAACAAGTGCCGCAGAGCGACAGCGCTCACCTGACGGCAGGTGTTCTGATGCTAAACTCACTGGCAAACGAATAAAGAGCACCCTCACATCACCGCATTCGCGCTCAGAGCATATATCTAGGATACTACTAATACAGATCTAAAATCTATAATAGCTAGGCTTTGCTATACCGGTAGTACAGTAATAAAGATATACAGCTGTGTAACTGTAATAAGACTTCGCTATATTAACATGTTATCATGGATATGCGTCGAGCGCGAGCGTAGGAGGGGGCAGGTGGAGGGGGCTCTAATAGCAAAAGCAGTTGCCGCGAGATGGCGCGTGCAAGTGTCATCAATAATCAAAGATGGCATCACCCTTCGTGCGTGATAACCTCACTGCATTGAGTTGCTGAAATCCAAGTATATTCAGGCAGGCAAGAATTTCGTTCAGCTGTCAGTTAACACATCTGCATTGCAGGTTGCCAGGCAGTAATTATGATTAGAATAGTGCCAGTTCACCCCCATGCATGCGTAATGGGCTCCCCCATGTTTTTGCCTACACACGCAAGCATTCAGGGTTCATTACAGTGTGCTAATACAAGTAAAAAAAGGTCCAAAAGGTGCTAATCAGGGTGCTAATACAGACTGCTTTAGAAAATAATATGATTTAAGGAGCATAAACCTTGTTCAACAAACATTTGCCTTTGCAATTGACAATGCAACTGTAGCCTCACATCCACAATAGCAAAAGCAGTTCAGTCCTTGTTAACAGTCAACAAATCCATGTTTAACCCTCCACCGGAGGGTCAAAAGGTTATCAGACACTTACTCTTCGCACGTCAGTGGAGAGCACATGTCATGGTCCTTTCAATAAAGTGACAAAAATGGTAGGTCAGCGCTGAAACAAAAAAGTTTTTCACTCTGTCCAATAGGCCATGTCCTCAGAAAATGTCTGATATCTTACCTTTCCCCCACTGCCCTTTGACACATGACCTCCAATTTCGCACTGGTGATGGGTTTCCTGCCCATCACACTCTACACCAAATATTAAGAGCATATGTCGAGCGTTAAGATTTGTGCCGCAATTCCGTATTTCCTCCTATACCTTAAGTTAAGGGGGAAATATTCCCCCTCCGTTTACACATCTTGACCTTTGACCATGACCAGCCGAAAAAATACACGGGAGCGACGAGCGATTTCGCTCCCGTCAGCTTTCAAAGCGCTCTGGTAACAACAATTACGAGAGCGAAAATTTTGGAAGATACGAGAAAAAATCGCTCCCGTGCCGCCGCAGCGTTAGAAATTAGTTCCGACCCCGAGGCCCGAGCCCACCAAGTTTTTGCTCGGGCATTAACAATAAGTTTTTATATCGCAGGGGTTAATTATCGTGGGGAGTGAGGGCACGACCAGTTACACCAGACACGCACGTAACCAAAGCTGAATTCGTCACTGATTTGTAGAAAGTGAACTATTTTTATTCATTTAGATATCTAGAAGCAATGTAAACTGTATATACTTAAAAAGATTCTAGGCACTTGTAACTTTGCGGATGTGCGGCAGCATTGATCTATGCATGGGGGTACCGTGGACTGGGGAGGAGAAAAACGAAAGTAAAACCTTACCCAGAAGCTCCCGGCATTCCTAGAGATTCCAGTACAAGTCTTTGTTAACATACTCAAAGTAACTAAAAACTCTCTCTGAAGTTCTGAACTTGCTCAGTCGATGTAAAAATAAAGTTGAAAGATGAAAAGAAATAAAGTAAAAAAAGAAACTTGAAAATAACCATACCATCATTACCATGATTATAAATTCTTGATTTCCTGTCTTTGTCATGTTACTGACTATGTGTACTGTGTAGTGCTGTCTGTCTGTGTGAATGAAATGAATAAGAATGTGATTGGTTTCTTAGTCGAGTGAAATGAGATGAAAAAAATGTGATCGAATGTAATTTGTTGACGATTTCTTAACACTGATAGTCTGATACTGGTGCTGAGTGCTGAATGCTGATGAATGATATTAATTAGAGTCAGTGCATCAAAATTATGAAAATTTTAACAAAATCATGCTATGAAAAAGTAGCTCTGGCCAAGCCTAAAATAGCTCCCGTAAAAAAATTACGAGAGCTCTTTTTTTCATACAAAATCAAAAAAGAGCTCTCGTAAAAAAAAAAGTAATTTTTAGCTGCCATTGACCCCCAAATTTGTCTTTCTCACTGAGTTCTTTTCACGATCCCCCCCCCCCGACGTCCTGAATATCGTGACCGTACGTCGAGCGGTTAAGATTTGTGCCCAATTGTTGACGGACGGACGGACGTCGTCGGATGAGCTAAAAATGCAGGTACTCGCTAACAGTAACACAGCTGAAACGCACCGGCTCATAGGGCTGGTGTTTTACCAATGTTACTGCGCCTCAAATAATTTGCCGCATATTGCCGGTGCTAATTTTGCGCCCTGACAATGTTGAAAGTGATAAATAATAATACGACCACCGCCAGTGGGCGAAACATGTTATGAGGGGTGCGAAAGAGATGGAAGCAACCGGTAACCTACCAGAAATTTGGCTAATTAAGATGCATTCCGGGAGCCTCACTTTCATGCACAACATTTCTGTTTCCGGCTCCCTTGTTTAAATTCTGACTTATCAATTCTCATATTTGCTCGCTATAAAAAAAATGGTCCAGCAATTCAACCGGGGTGGTCGCTCAAAGGCTATGCAGTGTTCGAAATAAGGGGAAAAAATTGCTTGTCGGACGGACAAGCTACAAGAAATTTTTGCTTGTCCTGATTAATAACATAGAAATATACTAAATATGTTGTACATTTAATCAAATTAAACGTTAGACCCAATATCGTACTTTGTAACTTTAATACAGTTCACCAACAGTTCACATTAAACCAGAAGTGACGAATATCGTCAGGTTGTATCTAAAAGACAAATCGAAAATACGAAACGGACTGCAAAAATGGCGGCGGCCAGCGATGGTAGAACATGATGAAAAAATTGCTCTAAAAAGCTGATTGTCCAGCGGACAAGCTACTGGACAGGTCTACTTGTCCTCCGTGGAAATCGACAAGGGCGGACAAACGGATAGCCCTTATTTCGAACACTGCTATGCCTTACTATATATTATATTAATAAGCGATCAGTAGATTAATTGCGCTGCGCAACTGAGAATGCGCAGCGCAATCTCGAGATTGCAGTACAGTCTGCCGATCGGTAGATTGCGCAGCGCAAACATAGGAAGATCACGCGCAACATATTTATACTCATTCAGTCATTGCAGCTCTTCAAATCAATCATCACATTAGCTCTAGTACTATAGCCCGCTTACATTAACTGCCGCTGGGCTATAGAACGACCCATAGGCATGCGATGGACCAACTTATCCCCGATTATATCCGGCTATAAAACGTCTGCTGGTAGGCAATTAATGCCTCTTATCCGAAGTGAATATGTCTTAAGTTATATCAGGCTACTAAAATTGAACCTCTAACTATCGTTGCAATGGTATACTTGCGGTATTTCTTGTGACAAAACATTCGATTTGCGAACCTTCAAACGGCCATTTCTGGCGGCGCTGCAGCAGCGCAGACAGCGGGAACTATGTATATCCGCACGTGGAGGGTGGGAGGGTTGGGTGGTTGTGGACAAAAACATTGTTGTTGTCAAGTAACAAATTAACGACAAGAGATTGTAATATTAGTTTTGTCATGAAAGATGAACAAATTACTATATTAATTTGTTACTTGACAAACAACGTTTTTGTCCACAACCAACACAACCCGCCCACCCCTCCACGTGCGGAAATACAATAGTTCCCGCTGACTGGCTGAGTAAGTTGGTCCCGAGCATTCGTAATGGCTGATGCTATAGCCCAGCGGCAGTTAATGTAAGCGGGCTATAGTACTAGAGCTATCAAGTATCATCACATCAGCTAAAACGAGTATGGCAGTGCATTCACCAGTCAGCTCTCTTGAGGGAATCAACTTGCACGTGAGCAACTTCCAGAAGAAAATGCACGCATGCTTCGTGACAGAACTGGGCGCGTAGTGAAGGGGTCGCTTGCCTTCGAAATTTGCAACGTCGAACCTACTTTCGAACTTATATATATCGCCAGCATATTCGCGTGGCCTTCCCTCGAAGCAATGTGCAATACAGTGTCACCAGTTTTGCGTATTTACGCTACTTACAGCTGTCAGCGAAAATGTGGGATTACGTAAAATGTTATCTAAGCCTACAATGTCATTGCTTGAGCATATTTATTTAGAAAAATTCTGGCTTGCTCTAAATTTGTGGGGGCCGCCATGTCGATTGCATGCGGTGCGGTGATGGCCTTTTACAAAAAGTGATCACTTGCGAGACACCTAATAAGGCGTCTTCTTTTTCTTCGCCATCGGCTTCTTTTTTCGTCACCTTTTTCTTCTTGGGCGACGTTGCATTTTTCTTCACCAACTTGTTATTCCACTAATTCTTTTTCGTCTCAGTTTTGTGATTTTTGTCCACTCACAACTTCATTCTCCTCCTCCTCCTCCTTACTATCTGTATCACCACAATCGTCATCATCATCATCGTCATTATTGTTGTCATCGTCATCATCATGATCATCATAATCATTACATCATTATTATTATTCTCTTCATTTCATGTAATTAAATAAATATGTGGATAAATTTAAACTTAATGGTAGAAATTGCCACTTGTATATGTGCACTCGTGGTGGAGCGGCAGGCGCCAATTATGGGGTAGAGAAATATAAAATTGAATAATTTTGCAAGGAATTAACATACAGTGACAAATTACCCCTCAAAATGTTGGTATTTTTGTCCTCTACACTTTAATATCCATCATATGCAAATCTGTTGTGTATGTAGGTCAGCAGAGGTCAAAGGGTAATGAAATTTGACCCCTGATTAAAATCGGATCCCTGTCAGAAAATGCCCTACAGAATCGTTTACCAATGGTATTTGTTGGTCTGAGTGTGTCTATTCTGAAGCAGAGATGTAGAAGTAATTTATAGTAAAAAAAAGTTTGCTTATTTTTATTTACGCTATGGTATGCAACAAGTTTTGACATATTCTTAAAAATGCCCTATTGCGCTAAAATAGCCAAAATGTAAAAGTGGAATTGCTTGGAATTAGTTGGTGAAATTTGAAAACTAAACCTTTCAAATGGTAATAGACATATTCCTGATACAATTTATACCCCTTTTATTTGAATTTCAAATTCTGAGGTTGGCTCACCTCCTCGACGTTACATTGAAATAGACGACAATGAATTAAAACAGAAGGCATTCGAGAAGAATCTCATATGGCTCATAACCGGCTGCATTGTGCAGCAAACCAGACGGTACCCAGTTGGACAGGATTTAACATTCAATTCGCAATAAAATTGATGTTACACCAGATGTGGTTGCATGGTACCTGCCGACGATCAATGCCCCCTGCCACACAGCTGTCAACTGTGCATAGGCCTTGTGCCAGTCACAGCAAATCAGAGCCTCACTAGCCCTTGAAAGTATAGCCGTTATGTTTGATCAAGCACTGTACGCAAAAGCCACAGAGATAATCTGGAAACAGAGGGAGAATTTCTCAAATATTGTTCCTAGGCAGGGGCGGATTTAGATGGGGGCACATCCGGCCCGTGCCCCACCTTTTAAAACCTTAAAAAAAATTAATTACACTGCAACTACCGTAAATAACCGTAGGCCTACTGCCCTCATGAGCTGTATATAGGAAAACCTTACCGTTGTGCAAAGAACAGAAGAATCTTGACTCAATCATAAAATGTCTAGAGATGTGTGGTAGACAAGGGATTGCATTACGTGGTCACCGAGATGTGGCATCGATGTCTCTTCCAATACTAGTAATTTTGGAAACTTTAAAGCCCTGTTGGACATGAGGATTGATGCTGGCGATAAAGAGCCCTCAAACCACCTACAGGATTGCAGTCGAAATGCCAGCTACATATCCAAGACCGCACAGAATGCCCTACTTGATTGTATCAAGAAGCAGGTACAGGACATGATTGTAAATGAAATCAACAGTCAAGATGAAGGTGCCCTGTACGGGATCAACTGGTGCTGATGAGGTGGCTGATGTAATTAAGCCAGTGGGAGCAGCTAGGGATACTTGTGCGATATGTCAAGGATGGAAAACCTGTTGAGCGCTTTCTGCAGTTTGTGCCTTGTGTTAAAGTAACGGAAAGTGCCATTTGCGAAGAACTTGTTTCAACATTGAAAGATCTAGGTCTGAATCCAGTTAACTGCCGATCACAAATATACGATGGTGCTGCAAATATGGCAGGCTGCAATAAGGGGCTGGCAGCAAAGTTCAAAGAGGAGGCACCTTATGCACACTACTTTCATTGTGCGAGCCACGTTTTGAACTTAGTCATAACAAAGTCATCAAAAGTTCGAGAGATTACGTGCATGTTTAGCACTTTGCGTGCAGTTGTTGTATTCTTCAGAGGTTCTCCTAAAAGACAGAGATGTCTAGAGAACGTAATGACACAAATAACCCTGAAGAGAGAGGAAGACAAATTGCAGGCAATTAAGATGACAATTGTCATCTTAATTGCCTGCAATTTGTCTTCATCTGCTTGTGTCTGCTTTTGTCTTCATCTGCTTCATCTGCTTGTCTTCATCTGCATTGTGCTTGCATCTGATTTCACAGAGACTCTTTATCTTTAAAGATAAAGAGTCTCTGTGAAACCAGATGGGTTGAAAGGCAACAGGTCTTTGAAGACTTTCATATCACGTATGAGGCTGTTCTAGGTACCTTGGATAAAATTCAGTCGGAAGAGGAATGGGAACGAGACACGTACTGTCAGCCAAGCAAGTGGTTTAGCTACCAGTATATCTAATTCTGTGTTCATTGCAGCCTTCCAGGTGTGTCGTTTCATCTTTGGGTTTACCAAAGGTCTCAGCTGTCTACTTCAAGGAAGCAGCAAAGACATCCTTGAAGCATACCAGGATGTAAAGATTGTCAAGGATGAGCTCTCTGAGATAAGGACCAACAGTAAACCAGAGTTTGACATGAATGTGTACCCAGAAATGGAGCACATGAGTACATTGGCTGGAGAAGAAATAAGGATACCACGTAGGTGCTCCTTGCAGACAATGCGGGGGAACCTTCCTACCGATAACACCGCAGACTACTATCGGATTGGGATTTTCAACCAGTTCTTGGATGGCCTCAATTCGGAAATGAATACACGATTCAGTGAATTAACGAACCAAGCTGTCAAGGCTCTGGCCCTTATTCCAGGCAACCATGAACTACTTACCACGGAATGTTTACAGCAACTGCTTCAATTCTATGGCCAGGCGCGCCGGAAGCAGTTTTGGATTGGGGAAGGGCAAAGACTTAAGGGGGCTCACGATTTTTTTTATCGTGTGTGCGTGAGCGCGACGTGTGTGCGTGAGCGCGTGTGTGCGACGTGGGTGCGTGATGGCGTGTGTGCGTGAGCGCATGTGTGCTGAGCGCGTGCGTGAGCGCGTGTGTGCAACGTGTGTGCGTGAGCGCGTGTGTGCGACATGTGTGCGTGTGCGACGTGTGTGCGTGAGCGCGTGTGTGCGACGTGTGTGCGTGAACGCATGTGCTGAGCGCGTGTGTGTGATGTGTGTGCGTGAGCGCGTGTATGCGACATGTGTGCGTGAGCGCGTGTGTGCGTGAGCGCGTGTGCGACGTGTGTGCGTGAGCGCGTGTATGCGACGTGTGTGCGTGACGTGTGTGCGAGGTGTGTCCGTGAGCGCGTGTGTGCGTGAACGCGTGTGCGTTGAGCGCGTGTGTGCGATGTGGTGTGTGTTGTGAGCGCGTGTTGCGACGTGTGTTGCGTGGGCGTGAGCGGTGTGCGACGTGTGTGCGTGAGCGCTGTGTGCGTGTGTGCGGCGTGTGTGCGTGAGCGCGTATGTGCGACGAGGGTGCGTGAGCGGTATGTGCGGGTGTGTGCGTGAGCGCGTATGTGCGGTGTGTGAGCGTGAGCGCGTGTGTGCGTGTGTGCGACGTGAGCATCAATCACGCAAAGCGCGCAGCGAAAACTTAAAATGGATGTATAAATTAGTTTTGAACGTTAGAATTACACAAGTCTTAGCTCATACATTTTTTCCCCACTCTTCTTTTTTGGGGGCTTTTTGTTTTTTGCTCCCCCCCCCTTTTTGGATTTTGAGGGGCGGCCGCGCCCCCCCCTTGCCCCCACTTCCAGCGACTCTGTCTATGGCCCTGACCTACCTTCATCAGGCACATTTCGCCAATAACTGAGACTTTGGAAACGCTTTTGGGCAGGAAATGCAAGCATGCCATCGTCTCTGCCAGAAACTCTTCAGCAGTGCAACATTCTCCATTTCCCAAATGTTCACCGAATCTTACATGTGTTTATGCTGAAGCCTGTGACGAATTGTGGGGTGGAGAGGGCAAATTCTTCTCAGAGATTTATTAAATCTCCCTTCAGAAGCACTATCGGTAGTGACCGCATGAATGCCTTGATGCTGCTCTTTGTTCATAGAGACATTAAACTTGATTATGACAAGGTGATTGATTTATTTGCATCTAGACACCCTCGCAGAATGCTTTTCACCAATCCACTTTCAGCGTAGCCTTGATTTGTATCTGTTACCTTAAAATCAAATTTAGAAGACATGCCCATAGAAGATATGCCCTTCAACTGTTGTAATACCATAATTATGTACATGTAAATCTTAAATTCTGTTCAGATCTGGCATTTATGAAAATATGTTCTGTGAGCTCTCTGTCTGTATACAAATGAATGTACCTTTCCAAACCCATGAACTACATAACGGACAATCAATGCTTTGCTACAAATGAATTAAAGGTGTCTCCAAATTGAAAGTCATTACTTTATTAGGTATTCTTTCAATTCATATCCCAAACTGAAACAGTCTACACAACAGTCGGCCTGTTTAGTGAATCGTAGTGTTATACAGTTTAATGTTTTGCAAGTATTCCAACAAAATAGATATTTTAGGGAACTAAATGTGGGCTCTGATGGACATGCAGCCTCGCACTTTGGTCCACCTGTGCACATTTAGGATTTAAAAAAACTAAAACCTATGATTTAGCCTTAGGTAAGTGGATTTAGGAACTGCATTGCTTTTCATATGATTTTAGAAAACAATATTTCATGTTGTGTTACATGAACATCATGGAAGTTTCGCAGGAA